GTGGACGCGATCAGCAGCGGTGTGGTGCCTGTACGGGCGCGCAGCAAGGGTATAAGGCGAGAGGAAGACGCTTCAAGCGCGCGCGGTATCGATCGAAGCAGCGGTTGCGCGGCTGCTCGTCTCGATCATTTGACGCTTACCGCGTACAGGCTGCCGCGCTCTCTCGTGATGGGGTGAGTGACGACTGAGTTGAGCGTGCAGAAGCGATCGCTTTGCAAATCTGCCACTTCATCATCCTTCCTGCAATCCTCCACCATCCCTCACCTTCGCATCCACAATCAACACGCATTCATCGCACACCGAATCGAGCAAAAGGCTTCTTTGCTCCTTCTTTGCACACAACTCACATAGCTACCAGACCTCAGTCATCCACCATGGTGCGTATCTCGCATGCCTCCTTATTGTTAGGCACGTTAGCGCTCCCTTGCTGCTACGTGTCGAGGGACAGTCGCAGGAGCACTTGCAACCCGCTTAGCTCCCTCGATACGTATGACTGACCTTTGCGCATTTGGTCGTCCATCTGCCACTATCTTCACCAGGGTTCCTGCCTCTCCTCTCCCTCCAAGAAGGACCTCAAGCGAACCGACACCAAGGGTTCCAAGAGTGGTAACGACCTTCAACGTACCACTTCCTCCTACCACGGAAGCGTCGCCGACGGTATGCGCTACTCTGACCGCACTTCGGGAGCCGAGAGGGAACGCTTGACCGCTAGTCAACTTCACAAGTCCAAGACTCTCGAGGAACGTCTCAAGCAGGCCGAGAAGGAGAACAGGACTAGACAAGGATAAATGGCGAAGCACTAGCCTTAGAAGATCCTGTGGGCTCAGGTGTGCTCTCTTTTCTACGCGGCTTAGATGCTTCGATCTTGGGTCATCTACAAAGACGACGGCCAATCTAGAGATGCAGCCAAGCCTTACCAGCATCACGCTCTCCGCTCACACATATCCAACAAGCTCATTCTCGTCCACAATCATATGATCTCCACTCGTAGCAATCATCTTGTCTCTTCAATTGTCCAAAACCCGCTTCCTCCAGTGACCGTCAAGGTGCTCCGTATTGAGCGGCCGAACGAGCTTTGACAAGGGTCGGGTGGTCCAAGTTGCGCGGGACAGGCACGCGCACGTACATGGTGAGTATCGGGACTGGTTTGCGATAGGCTACACTGGCGCTGGAGGGCAGGACGGTAGGCAGTGACCTACGAAGTCGAAGGAACGCCGACCACCTGATCCACGGAACGTCGGCTAGGCCGAGGTCATGTCTAGTTGGACAAACGGACCTCTCCTTCCTAATCGGCAGCGCCGCAAATGTGTGTTAGATTTGGGTGCCCGTGCCACTACTTGGAGCCACACGTGGCGCTGGTAGCTGTTACAGAGACGATTCGGGCGGTCGTGGAATCTCGACGGGCTTCATTAGCCACGAGCACAGCACGCATCAGATCTCAAGTCGCACCTCTAACACGAGTATGGCCTTTCTTTTCCAGGTGCCGCGACCCTTCCCTGCCGACCGCACCGCCGCCAATGCTCGATCCGTCCGACCAGCTCGATCGCGATCGACGAACAGACTTTGACGTGACAAACTCTTCCCTTCCAGCTTCCCCTACGAGTTGGAAGGCTTCTCATTTACATTACCGTTCCTTGTCCATATTTTCAGCTCACCCCTCGAGGGTAGTGCGACCTACCCGAACGCTTTTACAACCCCAATAACCCCACACTACGTTTGCCCCTTTTCCCCCGTTGACGCTTCGCTCTTGATTTGACCACAAATTTCCGCGCAATCCATATCCATCTCTTATTCCAGCTCGTCTCTCCGCCAATCGGGAGTCAGCGGGCATTGGCGCCCCTTTTGAGGCTGCACTCGGGTGCACTCGTGCTATCGCCGAATTGAAAGCGCATTACTGATTAAGACGTTTGCGGGCCGATTTCTCTAGGCTGCGACGAGCCTGATGGGTAGTATACAGCAAGGTGCTCAGCTTCAGACCGAGCAGCAAGGGCAGGAGAGGGCAGAGGCTTGTGAACGAGGCGTCAGGCGTTGATGAGCCTTTGCATCAAAGGTTGCGCAGCGGGGTTCTCTGTGCTTGCCAGCAAGCTGACGACATCTTTGAAGTTCTAGCGTATCGTCAAAACGGATCATGTTACGAGTTTCGCTCAGCGTGAGCCAAAGGGCAGTGCAGTCCGGGCGCAGACTTTAAGAGGCCAAACCAATCGCACCCAACTCACCCTCAATCGCGATTCCCAACTCTTTTCGTACTTGTGCAAAAAGGGCATCAAATCTTGTGTCATGGTCACGCCGCTCTCTTCACCAGCTTGCCCAGCAGCGAGGTAGTGAGACCTTTCGATCGTGAGCTGGTCGACTAGCTGGTTATGCCTGTCGATGAACAGTCCAATCGTCGAAGTCAACTTCTGTAGGGCCTGCAGTGAGCAGCCCAAAATCACCGCGAAAGGCGTCGTCAGTACGTGTCGGATGCCGTGCATGAATTGCCCTGCCGTTCAACTCACGTCTACCAGTCGAGTGTCAGTAAGCATGCACTCTTTCCTGCAGACATTGAGGAAGTTGAAGTGATCATGCATCAGACCATCCACAGTCTTTGCATTCTCCAGCTTCTCCTCGAGATTCTTCCAATTTGGTTCAAGCACTTCCGCAGTGATGAAAGCGATCATCGATTGTATCAAGTAGAGCATCCTGTGTCGCAGTCGAAACACGCACTTCTTCCATTGCTCCAAGGCTGGAAAAGATGCAAGCTTCTCTCTCCATATCGTCCCCGAGTGCACAAGCCACAATGCCGACAAACTCCCTTCGAGCGTCTTCAGGTGGATCAGCGGTCGCTGCAGAAACTGCCAGCGCAGAATTGCCTTCTTGGAGATGACGAGAGAAGCTGGAAATTGCACCGAGAAGCTGAACTGAAGCAGCTCGAGTACTGTTGAGCGAGACGGAAGTCAGATATCATACAGCACTCCCTTGATCCTCAAACCAGAGATACATACTCGCTATTGTGTCGTGGTTGCGATCTTTTGCTCTTCGAGCCAGTTGCTCGCGAGCAGCCTCGACGCCACCTTTGGTCTCCGCTATGCGTTTGAGCTGATCGTAAGCATTCTCCGTCGCCAGCTCGATTTTGACATCCTCGCGGTACGAGTCCGTGAAGCCAACGGTGGAAGAGCTGCCGAGCACAAGGCCCAAATGGCTTTGAAGGCGGTTCCCAGTAGTGTCGCGAATATGTGTTGGATTGATTTTCTGCCTGAGCTCCTTGCCAGCCGCTTCTACAAATGACGAGAAAAAGTCCGACGAAGACATAAGAAAGTAGTGACGCATAGAGTGCATCCGAGGCACAATGCTGTGATCAACAAGGAGTAGTCGCAATAGCGCTTTGTTGGCGCGCTCGTACGCCTCTTGGATCCTACGAAGGAAGCTGTGCAAGGGCGAAAGTTGGTGACCAGTGTCTGTCTGCCCTTATCACGCGAGGCCACTCACCCTTGGTCGCTCATCAAGTCGCCGTCAACCTCTGGTGAGACATCGACATTGTCAAGGCCGCTATCTGCTCGCCTGTCCTCGGTCGCACCGGCACCTCCTCTCTTCCCGGTGTTGCGAACGTCCTTTCCGCACTCTCGGATCACGTTGAGATACTTTCCTGCAAGCAAGATCTTTTCTCGCCAAGGCATCAGGAACGAAGGTATCCTAGCCCCGCCGGTGAGAAAGCCCCTAGCTCCAAGCTCTTCGTCTTCGTGCGCCAAGTCTATGCCTCTTTGCTCGCGCTGCTCCCTTTGCTCGCGGACCAAGTCATCGCGCAAGGTGTATTTGCGATCCCAGTACTCGTCCGTTGGGTCCGATTCCAGGCTCGCCACGTTCACATGCGCATCCTCGGCGATCATAAACTCGTCATAGGTGTCCGATAATTCGCCAGTAGTGATCCATCGCAGCATGATGCGACCATACGGTTCGGAAGCCCTTTGAAAGAGCGTCATGAAGAGCTTGTGGGCCGTAGTATCCCTGCATTTGACAAGCACGCTTTAGTGACCCGAGCAGACCCCTTCGGCCTGGAAGCTCGGACACACTCACCCTCGCATTTTTTCGCACCTCTCCCACACCATCGCTAGAATTTCGCCTCCTTTCACGGGACCACCTGGGACAGTTTCCAAAGCATCTTCCGCTCCGTCGTCATCGTCCAAGCCGAGCGCGTCCCGCCTGTTGCGCTCAAGACTGCCATCGTCATCATCGCTCGGCTCATCGTCGTCGTCTTCGTCGGTTTCTTCTTCACTGTCCTCGCTCATCAGAGCTGCGTGGGTGATATCTCTGATCGCGCTCGTCAATCCGTGCACGAGCTGCAATGTGCGCAATGTCGGAGTGATATAGTAGAAGAGACGCTGCAAAGTAAGGTCCCTAGAGACGCGTAGCTGGTGCTCGAGCTGCACCAGAAGTGTTTGATAATCCTGTCATGAAGAAAGTGCAGACTCGTATGCGGGTCTCGATCCGTTTCGTTCCCCGAGAAGCGGCGCATGCACGCACCTTGAGAAGTTCACGAATCGCTGAGCACAAAGCGTGCATGACAGTGCCTGCCTCCAACGTTCCTTTGGCGTCAATAAAGGCAAAGACAGAGGTGTAGTACGTGGCAAGCGGCAGTATCCTGTCGACGGAGTCTCGTAGCGACGGATCTGGGGCAGATGTAGAGCGCTTGAAGGTCAGTAATCTCGTCTGACAACCGCCGCCAACATCCACTCACCCAACGCGGGGTCGACAGACCAGGTGGCACCGCGAAGTTGAGATGCGGGGCTGTTAGGCTTGTACCGGTCCTCGTACGTGATGTACTGCCCTTCCAGGCCCTAATGCCCCGAGGATCGAGTGTGAGCTATTGTGGAGAAAGACTCCCCAAGCGGGGCGCTATGACTTACTGCTAGCACGTTCAGCAGATCATGCAATATGAGGGCCTCCTGGGTTTCCCTGTCTGCAAGGCCAAGTGGCGTTCCATCTTCATCTCGTGTCTGCGCGCCGACCTCAGTCAAATCCCCTGCCGAAGCGTCGTCGTCCCGCCTAGCAGTCATTTTGGGTTTCCTTGGAGCTGCACCTCTGATTTTGTGGGGTGTGGCAGCCGGAACGCGTCTGGTAAGAGGGTTGAAAATGGTTGAAGCTTCGTGCGCGAAGGAGTCTTGGCCGACTGAAGGCGGGCGAAAGCGTCGTTGCAGGGCAACCAGTCGGCACAAGAAATAATCCACACAATCAGTACGATACCATCGCTCTTCGTCGCAAGATGCGCACACTCACCTTTGTCGCGACCCTTCAGCTGTCGCCTGGCCACCTTTGCCATCGTCGGCCCATCAGGCCCAAGCCCTGGACCCTTGCTCAGACCTTCACTCCAATCGTTTCGCTTGATTGTCTTGAGCCAGTACTCCGTCTTCAGATGATTGTCTCCGAGTCCACCTGTCCATCTCGAGCCGCCTTCGTCTTCCTCGCCAATCGTGTACGGCGCTGCGTTCTGCTCTTCGCGAGCATCGGCCTGTCCGTGCACGCCAACAGGCGGGCTATTCGTCGCAGCACCCGGGCCGGGAACGGAGTCGATGGAGCCGCTCCGCAGATGCGGGAAGCGCTCGCTACCCTTTTTGACAGAGCTGAGATTTTTGAGCATCTTTCGAGACGGGATCAAGCCGATGCCAATGTTAGCATACCTCTGTCGCGAGTCAGTTCTGGCGAGGATGCGCGCACAGTCCACCGTACTAATCCTCTCTTCCGATGAGATCCTCACCTTGTCAAATTTCTTTGCGCTGACCTGCTTCGTCGATCTGCGCACCCTGGTACGGGCAGCAGGGGTCTCGAAAGCCCCCGCTGCCGATGGTCCTGCTCTCGAATCGGTCATCACGCTTGTCGTCTGCGAGCCGCGACAGACGCAGGTCTCAAGCGTCTCCTAGTTGATGGTCTGAGTCAAGGCTCCGCTGATGTGCGCTTCGCTGATTTCTGCTCTGACGGTGTACGTCTCAGATATACTGGTGTGTCTCACAGGGTTGGCGTCCGTGATTTGAGAGGCTTGTGAGACTTGATCTGCCGTAGCTGCGTGGTGTGGGCAAAAGCAGAATCTCGCGCTGTCCGTCTGCGAATCCACATCACCGGCAAATCTTGAGCCGTCGCGAGAGCGGATGCATCGAGAGGTGCGACGCGTGACGCGTCTCGCGATGCGGGCGCGGTGGCGCGCCACAGCAGTGCTATGTAATACTTGGCAGCAGCACAGCAGCATCGCGCGCACACGCTTGACTTGCGGCAGCGGTGGCACGCGTGCGTCCAACACTTGAGGCTGCGCATGCGAGTAACTGGGCATGCGGGCTGTGTGGGTTTCTGATGCAGGTGTTGGAGCTGATGGCTCGCAAAATCCGCTTTGAAACGGAAGTCTCAGGAGGACCTTGTGGCGCTGACCAACCTCGTTCCTCACCATCACTACACCGTCTGTCACAAGCACGAGTCAGCATACATCTGCAATTTCGCTCACCCATCGCCACTTCATTCTGCATCTCATTCATCCAAATCTTCACTGCCTTCATCCAAAGCTTGAGCCCCTCAGCGCACATCCAAGCTATCGGTGGCAAACCGAGTGGTCGCGCCTTGCTCTGCGAGAATTTATCAAGAGCTGTGACCCCGTGAATCGCCTCATTCTGGGCTGTGGAACCTTTTCTCATTCTTCTTCTAGCGCATATACAAGGCGTTCATCGCCCTTGTGTAACAGCATCCAAAGCGAGCTCCTCCTGCTACGCAAGGATGTCTGACCAACAGAGACCAACACAGGGCGAAGAGGGAGGGTTCGAAGATGATGTTGCCGGACCCATGCTGGTCCAAAAGCTAGAGGTGCGTGCACTGAATAAGCGCTGCGGTCATGCTACATGTTTGCGCGATGCTTTCAAGGCAGTCGGCTGGATCACCATCGAAGCTCTCTGGTGCTCACCTCGACCCTCATTTGGTGGCCGCAGGAATTTGGTATCTCTTCCTCAGACACAAAGAAGCTGGCAGAGGCAGGATACTACACGGTCGAAAGCATCGCCTTCACACCTCGCAAGACACTGCTCACTGTAAAAGGCATCAGCGAAGCGAAGGCCGATAAGATCCTTGCAGAGGGTGAGAGATCCGTCTAATGGCGTAAGTATTCAATGGATGCGTCGGAGGAAAGCTGACTCTAGGCTCCTATGCAGCCTCGAAGCTCGTACCGATGGGCTTTACAACCGCGACGGAGTACCATCAGAGACGGACGGAGCTCGTAACGATTACTACAGGCTCGAAGAATTTGGACAACATCCTTGGCGGCGGCATGGAGACTGGCAGCATCACTGAGCTGTATGGAGAATTTAGGACGGGCAAAAGTCAGCTGTGCCACACCCTTGCGGTGACTTGCCAGGTGCGTTTCGAGTGTATGCAACACTGTGTTCCCACTCAGCTCACATTGCTTGGCATTCTTGCAGCTGCCCATTGATATGGGTGGAGGCGAAGGCAAGTGCTTGTTCATCGATACGGAGGGCACGTTTGTGAGCTTCTGTGGCCCGTGTCAAGCATGTATGCGCCACTGACAATCATTAGACGTTCGTCACAGCGTCCTGTACGACTGCTAGCTGTTGCGGAGCGCTTCGGTCTTAATGGCGAGGAAGTGCTCGACAATGTGGCTTACGCCAGGGCTTATAATGCCGACCACCAGCTGCAATTGCTGATCCAAGCAGCGGCAATGATGGCCGAGTCTCGTTTCTCCCTTCTTGTGGTCGACTCGCTCACTTCGCTCTACCGCACGGACTTTGCTGGAAGAGGAGAGCTAAGCGCTAGGCAGACCCACCTCGCTCGCTTCTTGAGAGGCTTGATGCGCCTCGCAGACGAGTTCGGCGTGGCCGTCGTCATCACCAATCAAGTGGTAGCGCAGGTCGATGGAGGACAATATGCGGGTGCAGACGCGAAGAAGCCAATCGGAGGAAATATCGTTGCGCATGCCAGCACTACCCGGTGAGTCTCGGAACGAGAAATTTCCACATCATGACCCTTGGTATACGCCCCTTCGGAGCCGCACCTTGCTGACAACACCCGCTCCTACAATCTAGCCTCAACTTCCGCAAAGGTCGAGGCACTCAACGTATCTGCCGAATCGCCGATTCTCCATGTCTCCCCGAAGCTGACGCGGTGTTCAGCATCGGTCCAGAGGGAATCACTGACCCCGTAAGTGACACTGCTATGAAAGCTCGCGTGAAGAACAACTCGTGGCTGATCTGTTGCATTGCATGCGTCCAGACTGAGTAATGGCAGCGCGGCACCATAGATCACAAGGTAGCCTAGTTTCCCATCCGTCACACACCACACATTTCCATCCTGTAAAGGTAGCGCTATCAATGACATCAGAGACGTTTGCGTAATGTTTGCGTTCACTGCTAGGTTCGCAATTGCGAGTCTACAAGTGATATGAGGTCAATGTCAGCCGAATCAAAAGCTCCGGTCGATTGCGCTGGTATTCTGGACAGGCTTGCGGCACACGTGCCAAGTCACGGCTTTGTCAATGATTCTCATCGTGTTCAGAACTTCTCAGAGTCATGGAGCAAGATACAATAAGAGTCGCAATTTATTTCGAGTGCGTGCGAGTGCCATGGCGAGCTTACATTGTATGTGTGAGACGGGCGAGATCGGGCAGCATGAAGGGGCTTCAGAAAGGGTGGTAATGACGATGGGGGAGAGGCGTGGAATGGAGTGAGGGGGAGCGTGAGAGAGTGCAAGACTGGTTCGACGTGCCGCGCGGCAGATCGGATGACTCCGCGTCGCGCAAGTCCGCACACCATAGAGTGTCCGTGAAAGAGGAATTCGAGAGGTAATGCGCAGCGGTAAGATTGCGAGCAGACAAGTAGAGTAAGGAAGGTTGGACCCTGTCCCGAAAGCGTCTGACATGACGCGCCGCAACAAGCAAAAGAAGCTAGCGAAGAAAAGATTGAGAGATGACAAGGCCTTCTTGCTCGCGGACGCCTTAGCTAAAGGTGCAGTGTTGCTCAACAAAGTCTAGTAACCTCCCGTGCCTTGGCGAGAGTGAGGATACTGACCGCCCCGACCGCCATTACTATATCCGCCGCCGGTGTTGCCACCTGGCGCTTGGTAGCCTCCATACCCGCCGGAAGGCTGCTGTGGCCCTTGACCATAGCTATATTGCGACGGTGCTTGGCCCCCATATGCGGCAGCGGCCGCTCCCGGTGTTCCTGGGCCAGGAGAAGCCCTACCCTGCGGTCCGCCGTACATTCGTTGCGGCTGAGCCCGTGGAGAGCCTTGAGGTGACGCGGTGTAATAAGATCCTGGAGCGAATGTTCCATGCGATGCCTGATGACGAAGCTCTTGTTGGCCTTGTTGAGGTCCATTGTTGTAGTATTGCTGGTAGCGAGAGTCTCCGCTCGCGTCCACTCTAGGGAAGTATCCGCCGCCTGCACTGCTCGTCGCCTGGTGACCTCGCCCGCCGCCGGGAGTATAGTTGGTCTGCGGCACCTGATCCAATCCGGGCGTGGGGCCAGGAGATGAGGTGTAGTACGAGTACTGACCCTGGGAACCCTTCTTGCCATGGCCGCCGCTTCCCATCAAGGTGTGATCGCTATACAATGAGCCTGGATGGGTTTTCTCCAGCAGGTTGTCTCGGCTTCCATGCATTGCTAGACCCCCAATATTGCCCATCTCATAGTCTTGGTCACCAGGAGGAGGAAGGCTAGGCGCATCGACGCCGGCGAGATAGTTGGCATACTGATTTTCAAAGTCTGGTGCAGTTCCGGCACGACTCGGAGGCCCGTAGCCAGTCGGCGTGCCGACTCCTGCGAAGGTGGTACCGGACATGACTGAGCGGACGTCGGAATCCGTGTGCGGGTCGTACTCGAGATCTTGCTCCTCGATTGCGGCAATCCTCAGGCCGCCTTCCATTTCTTCTACCTCTGTCTTGCGACC